CTCCTTAACGCGGATTTACTCCGTGGCTTTTCCGTTTTGCGGTTACGCGCCATGGTATAACAAATGTGTATACGCACGACGGGGGTCGTCGGGGTATAACGCGAGATGATGATCATTACGATGCTTTCGTGTTGTTGGGGTCCTTTTTTTTTTACAGTACAGCCGATCAAGCGTTTGAAAACGAAACGCTCAAACCCGAGAGAGCTTTCAAGAGCCGTGTGGCGGTGTATTAAGCAATTCAAGGGTTTTTTTTGTCACGTATATATACTTACACAGACTCGCATTATTGCAGCAGCCTGCACGCGAGTAATACGTACATGATTCAACAGTACTGCATACGTGAGCAAATCCACAAAAAAAATGTCCCCGATTTTGAAATAAAAACCTTTTTTTTTCTACGTACATGTTTAAAGGACAAATAAGGCTTCGATGGAGTTGATACCATTTTTTCTCAATTTACATGTTAATTGTTATATGCATACGTATCATCCATATGAAGATGAAATTTTAAGGGTGTGGCTCGAAAACAAATTTGTTTACCAAAAACCCTTTGGGGAAGAAAGTGGAATATATTTTTTGTGGATTTGCTCGTACGTACGTGATTCACGTCGCCTGTACACACATCACTGATTAGTCACATCGAAGCGTTATACATCAGTGCCCATTACCCATTACAGTACACACACACACACACATGAATGCATTATATGAAAACTCTCTCGTGTACATTTACGCAGAAGAGGATTTGTGTTATCGTTATGAGCTCGATCGATGAAATCGTCGAAGGACTATACGTTTTCCATCGCACGCCTCGAGCAAAATAATTTCTCCCTTACTCACCTTCCCTGGAAGGACGATCGGTCATCCATTAACTATTGCATACGTATAAGTATAGACTTACACACACGCTCTCATATTTATCTCGTGTGGGTGAAAATACAACGACTTGGTCGTGATTAGCCTCGGGGTATACTTAAACGCAGCCGAAGAAATGTTCCCCGAATCGTGTTAACGGCTAATTAACGAGGCCCCCCTCTCTGATTGTAGTTAAAGAAGCGTGAAGAAGAAGGGCGCGATGCGTTAGTAAACGACAGAACCGTTCACTGGCTCAGTCAAAGTCTGCATATACTTACCACTGATACCTACAAACGTCGAAGCTCAAAGGAAGTTTTGGCCTCGAGTATCCAAGTGACCATTTATACATATATACCGTACCGCAGCCAAAGCACCGTAGTCCGCGAGGATCCTGCACACGATGAACCTGTACGACGTGGGATCAAGCGACATGGGAGACCTGTGGGACAACCCGTTGCTCCTCGAATCGGTAAGTACATTTTAGCAACAATAATACTGACAATGCATTGCTTTACTTTGTAAAAACCATCACTATAGAGCGATTTCGCCGTATGTTCAACAAGTTTTTTTTTTTTTTTTTTTACTTTTCACTGATTCCACAATCGCGATGGATTTGTACTCTAATTGTCTCTTGGCGATACACACGCCGATTGTCGATTCGACCTGCAATTAGCGGCATCGCTCGTTCGAGCACACGCGTCTGTATATAATATATGGAGCACGAGCGGCTTGAAACATTTTATCATCGATTCCCCGCGGCCCGAATGAATAAATTATATTAACTTTGGAATAAGCGCTCGTAAATGAAAAAAAAAGGCATTAGTCGGCCTGTAAAGTGTTGGCATAGTCGATTCGCTGTACATATACACACGCGCTCGCCGAACGATTGAATTTCTTTTTTTTTTTTTTCTTCTTCTTATCTACTTCTTTAAAGTATTATACCGTGTTGTTTTGATATCCCGAGAATCGAGGGTGATTATCGAGCAAATGTTATAGAGTAGCTATTTTCGCGAATCATATAGTGTAGGCGAATTATGTTAATAAAATACAAATGAACTAACGACTCGATTATCCCAAGGAGGAGGACATGAATTAATTTGATCGATGCCCGTAACTTGAGCGCATACTCCCGATTCTCGAGTATAAATCATGTGCGAGCGCAGCGCGGAGGATCCGGAAAGTCGCGACATTAGCCAAACGTCGCGGTGTTAAACACGTTTGGCGTCGAAAAGAGTAATTGTTGCAATAAAAAAGAAAGAGACTTACTTACAGGCTTACCTCTTTTATGAATTCGACTTTTTTTTTTTTTCTCTCTCTTTTTTCGTTGACACCCAAACGTGTGTACATTATAACGTAGTACGCTTTTATCAAGGTTATTATCGGCTTACGAAAAAATCGAAGTGTATACACGCGAGTAATGACAAACGAACTATTATTATTCCGCGTTTCGAGACAATTTTTTCTTTTCTTTTTAGAATCGAAAACAGGTCGTATGGAAAGAGAGTGTAATATGTACGCATGTTTTTCTCGATTTCTCGTTCCAAGTAATAACGATAAAGTCTTTGTTGCCCATCGGGAGTTCATTTGTATACCTGGAATTGCAATTAGAGGCTCTCGTCTTATCGGGGATAAAAAGTTTTTATAGTTTATCGGATGAAAATAGACTCGGATCAGATTATTCGTTATTTATTTCCAACTTATCTATTGTTGCGTGGATTCACAAATTGTACAGTCCACATTAAAAATAATGAAAAAAAAAGCAATTTTACAATATTATATACTTTATCATGGGACAAAGATACGAAAATTCGTTTACCGTATACAGTTTAATCGTACTTATTTTATCGCATTGAATTCCAAGCTGGAGTTTAAGAAGTAATTATCGAAAAATGAAAAAATAAAAATTATGTAGGTATACGTACACGCGATTAGCGCCGTTTCAACATTACTGCACGTACATATATAGTGTAGGTATCCTATGCATCGTGAGAGCTAGATAATTCTTTGTTCTAAATGACAACTATTCGAAACGCGACATGCGTTCTAAATTTACCTGCACTCGTGACCTTCGCGGCACTATCTCTCATTTTTACCTTTGAGCAGAAAATAATTTTTTTTTTTTTACATTTTAAAAACTACCTGCTCGAGGCCGACAATTCCAAGCAACAAATCGAAGGATATAAGCGAGAACACGAACGCACTCTTACAAGACTTAAAAAAAAGGAGAAGAACATTTTTTTTTTCTTAGCACATGATTATCAGCTTGTGGGTACAGGTGCTGGCATTGACGTTATTGGTACAGCGCAGGTACAGGGAGTTCACATATATGTATATATATACGTGCTCCAGTTTTTCGTTCTTTATCTCCGATCGCAATCGCCGGGGTTCTCGATGGAGTATACTTCGCTTTTGAAAACAAATTATATCTAAAAAAAAAAAAAAAGAGAAAAAAGCGGCACTCGTGTGCGCACCCACGCGCGATAACGATTTTAACATGAAACACGAATTTCCTCTTACGAAATAACCGCGCGTGGTTACAATGTGTGTTTTCGTATGTGCTTCGGAAGGTTATACCTTTTGCCGAGTCGTCTGTGTGTGTTTAGCTCATCAAAATAGCGTAATTTTCTCCGCTATGTTATGCTCGGATACAATGTACCTATGCCGAACTACGCTGTGACAATGACGATACGCGAAGCGTGACCCATATTTAATCGCATGGGTGTTACAACACACAGGGGAGAATCATTAATTTATTTTCGGTGTCCAGTTTTCGTCACGTGATCGTTATGTGCCCGACAACAGTGTTTTTATAGTTTTGTTTGTAAATATCATCAATGCCGGAACACGATAAATTTGCCATGAACGTGTTTATTTACAGAAACCGGTGCCTGAGGCCTGATGACTCAACCTATTAGGATGCCATACGCATAAAAGTACGAATATTTATTGAATTACCAAAACAAAAAAATCCCAAAAAAAATTGGTCCAAAAAGTTCCTCAAGTCGCATTTTTTACTACAAGTAACGTAACACGCGATTTGGCCAAGATAGCCTCACCTCAACAATCCTCGTTCCGCAAGTTTAAAGTACAACAGTATAACTGTTAACTACAATCCTGTGACCGATTAGACGAGTATGAACGGAAAAAAAAGGGTACGAGCAACAATCTAGGAGCATAGATACAAGCAATAACTGTTTCGATCTTATCAGCTGCTCCTCCTCCTCCTTTTTTTTTTTTTTTTTAACAATATATAAATATACTCGCGTTCGGGAAGGAGTTCGTTCGCCTGCATATACAGTTTCCGTCGTATATGTATGTATTGTACCGGCAACGGCAGCACCGTCCTCATTTTTTTTCTGCCATCCGCTTCCGGTATATATATTATCCCAAGACGAAGATATATATAAAATGTGCCATAACCATCAGGCTATTTATATACATATATTCCAAGTCCATCCCAGTGTATGTAAACAGAGCTGCGGACTGTCACGCGTATACAATGCAATCTTACGGTAAGGGATGCCGTCCTTGCGTTATCTTTTATCTCTCGTCTTCTTGGAAATATTGAGTCTACAGCTTCTCGGCGCATTGCAAACTCCCTGTGCTTGCGATTCGCCGTTATGGTTATATATACACATTGGTCCCAATTGGCCGAGCGCATCTGCGCCGTTGGATGTAAATTTATTACTTAAAAAATGTTGTTCATACCACGGATAATCGATACGATAAAACATTTCAATATGGACGTGCAAAGTCATTGTTGAATATCAGTAAAGAAATGGCCACCGATTCTTGATGGAACAGCTCTGTCTGTAAACGCTCAACTCATGTAATAAGTATCTGCTTTTCGGTGTCTTTTTACACTGTACGTGTAGGATACATACATATCATTATATGTTTATCACAAAAGCTGTTACTTATAGTCATGATCTTTGGAATATTTAGAACTCATCTCNAGGGCATACACATGTATACATATCGCGTGAATCGTACAGTAGTTATATGGATTGTAAAACACACAGAGCAGAGATGTATGTATATATATAATCCACGCGCAACGTAGTTTTTTTTTCTCTTACAACCAGCGACTCATCGCCCTCGTGTATACACTGCAGCTATAAATATATTGATTGATAGATAAATATGTGTCTTAGCGTTTGTTTGTTTGCTAGTTCGTAAAAATCTCTAATAACCACTGAACCAATCGATCAAAAATTTTGACAGAAGATTATTGACAAGTTCTAATGTGTCATAGGCTGTTAAACTAAGCTGTAACTTATGGTTAGGGCGAGTGGTTATGTTTTTTAATGTTAATTTTATATTTTTAACGTCAAGAGAGCTGCACTCATTTGATGACGTTACTCGTTCATAAGTAAAAGTTTTCATACTTTTCAATGACATGCAATACATTTTCATTAGCATACAGGTTGAATACGTATGGTAGTTTAATTAATCTCTGGTAGACCTGAATAAATAATGATAATGTTCTCGAGTGATGGGATGAAAACTTAAATTAAGAAATTTCTAATCTTATTTGATTGTCTGTTCACAAAAATTGAAAAAGTTACTAATACAGTGTTAGACCAATTGCCAGAAGGTTGATAATTATTTCTAAATATTTTCGTGCTGTCAATAAACTTTATATTTACTAGATGCATGGAGCATCAGACCTATTATATTGTAATTCCAATGGTGAGCAAAATTGGCAATGTCGGTCGTTGACGGATAGTATTAACACACCCTTCCTCAAAAATGCTCGAGATTTTTTCTTATGCCTAAAATTTTTCGTTGAACTCTACAAAATAATTAAAATTAAATATCTCAAACATTAATGAGTAGGCAGCAGGTAAATCGACGAAAGATACTTCATTGTACATTTTCAATTTAAAATGCATCGAAGTGTTCCAAAAAGATACTATATTTAAATACGAATGAGTGCAAATATTTCAAATATTTTATAGAGAGCGGACAGAGCTGCTCCGAGAGTTGCTAATAATATATATATATACATTTATACGCTTCGTTAGGGTGATCATAGGTGTGATTGAGTTTTTCCTGGTGTTTATACGTGTTTATGCGTGTAAACATCTGGTCATAACTCAGGTTTGCACCGATGGCTGAAAAACACTATTTTTATGTGAAAAAAGCCATATCGCCTAAGGGCGATGATGAATGATGAAAAAAAAATTTATTTATATATATATATTTATATGGGGAAAATCGTATAAATTTAGCGCAAATTTATCCGATAAAAAACTAATTGAATCTATCGTCCGTGAGAATACATATTTTTCTGCTGTACATAAATGCGAATATGGAATGAGAGAGAATAAAAACGGCATCGCAGCCAGAATTGTCACACCAACGTGTGCTACTATATATTTTTTTTTTCTCGCGTATAGTATATACCTAGATGGATAGATCGACTGAGTATTGTCTGACAATAATAAGACGAAAGGTAAAATAAAAAAAAATGTGTGGCTCATTGATATAACGTTGTTCGATTTTTATTTTCATCTACTCTTCCCATTTGCCTGTTCTCCTATGAAAAATAAGAAAAAAAAAGCTACAAGTATTCCCAAATACCAAACTGATCGCGAGTGAAAAAAAATTCCTATCAATAAATCATTGTTCCTGTTGACAAACCGAGAGCCCCCCGAACCGATGAGACATCACGAGCTTACACGCTTGATAACTGCGGCAATAAAAATACATGGGCGCCAATCGACGCTCCATTAGCTTAAATTGGAAAGCCTTCGCAAAAACGTGCTAAAAATATACATTTCGCGACAAGAAACAAAGAAAAAAAAACGTGAATTATCGTCAACGAGTTTTGAATGGAAAAAGCATCGTTTTGTTCGTTCGGCTGTAAAACCCGCTGCATCGGGCAGCTCGTATAGAAAAACCCACGAATTTCCAATGTGCATCAACTTACACAGGTGTAAATAAAACAAACGATATTATGAATTCTCCTTGTATTCGCTACATATCCTCAATGTCCATGTCGACGTCCTCCATACGGTCGAGCTCGATGTCCTTCTCGAGCGCCGCGAGGCTTACCGGTTCCTCGGCTACCAGTCCCCTGCGCTGCCCTCGACCACCAGCACCGTACAGGGGGTTCTCCGTCCCTTCCAAGTCCGACGATGGCTTGGCAGTGTCCGCCAACTGGACGCTCCCACCCTCCGAGACGTTTTCGAACCTGGCGAAGCCGAAGGACCATTTTTTCCGCGACCCGACTCCTTGGTCCCTTCCGGACACTGCTCCGATCGTCTCTCGGAACGCCTCCCACACCCTGTTGACCCAAAGAGTGCTTTAGTTTTTTTTTTTTTTTTTTTTTTTTTTTTTTTCGCAATTCGCACGGCCGGTCGCGATTTCACTCCGCTCTCTAGGGGCGTAGCGCTCGTAAATCGGATTGCCGGCGAAAGTTTGGCCGAAAAATTCTGCCCACGGGGAGAGTTGTAAAATACTCTAGAATTGGTCGGTCTTTTCTCCCGCTAAACTGATCGAATTTTCCCCGGCAACAATCATCCGTTTAGTCGACTCGCAAATGCGTACGTTATACATAAACATACACTTGATATTGCGCATTACAAGTGCAGAGTAAGCGACGGAGAGTAAAGTTTTGTCGCGCGGCGCAGGTGCGCTGGTATATACCCCGGTGGAGGCATCCAGAGGAGAAACGGCTTATATATATATGATATATAACCCGGGGAGATGAGAAATCGAGTTTAATGGGGGCAAGGGGGGCAAGATGGCCGGGAATGAAATAACAAACTGCGCTCGCCGGGAAGTTGAACTAATTAAAAGCTCTCGCAGCCGATTCGGAAACTCGAGAGTCCCCACCCCCCTCCGGCCTATACACCGGCAAGAAACTGCAGCCACGGGAAAATTATCGTCACCCGCGCCGACGACACTCTTTTTTTTTCCCTGCAAATTGAAATTGATTGCCGGGTGTATACGACCACCCCTACTTCTTTTTTTTTCTTCCCATAGTGTTGATCATTTGGGATTTGCGTCCGCATACCAATAGGAGGACTCGACGCGAGTGAGGAAAGAACAAGGGGGTGGAAAAACAAAACTCAATTTCCATGCACGCGCATGCAGGGAGTGCTATTTTTACGCAACGTCACCCCCCCTCCCAGGCGTACCACGCGACTTAACGTCCTCGCGCGCACACGTATTTTTAATAACTCGAGAGTTCTCATTACTTACCGGCAAAAAAAAAATTCCCCACACTCACGCCGCGCGTAGATACTTGCACAATTCGCGGGATTGAAGGATTAAAAATTCAGTCGCGCCCGAGGATGAATTAGCCCCGCGAGCTTTTGAAAAACAATGTCTCACGCGAGCCCCAACCATATATACTCCTGTCGGAGTTTCATTTCAGCCGGTGCGTATAAGTTACACCAGACTCCCTTGTTTATCGTACCACGCTCTCGCGCACCTGTGCGCTCGTAGTCGACCGAGCGAAATTTTGCACGCGCCCTTCTTGTTGACCCCGTGGGTTTGATTAGAATTTTTTTTTTTTTTTTTGAGCAAAGCATATTATGTACTTACTGAGAAATCGTGTAGCCGGATAGGAGGCAGAGCAAGAGAGTTAGCGGGAGTAGAGCAAAGAGTCCTCCGAACAGAGGGCCCAAGGCGGACAGGATGCGGTTGTCCCGGAGAGCTCCGCCCGAGGTCTCGCTGTAGAGCACCTCCACGCGCTCCTCTTGGGTTGCATCGATCAATCACACATGCAAGGAAAAAAAAAAATATATCATACGTCCTCCTTGACTTTTGTTGTTTAACGGGGCCACTCGATAGGCCGTTAGAGCAAAATGTGTAGGTGTTAAAAGCAAAGATTGCCCTTGTCGTGGCCGCGGGCTATTTTTATATGTTCTCTCGGCGGTGAAATGCGTATAAAGAAGGGATGGCATCGAGACGAACTTTATGTCGGCGGGAGCCTTTCCGAGGGACGCTGCTCGTAATCCTACGGTGGTTTTTTTTTTTCTTTTATATGTACCTCTTATTACTTTAACATTATAAATACATACATATGTGTGTGTGTGTGTGTGTGTGTGTGTACAAAAAGGCACGTCGTAAAGCTAGTGCCGGTCGAATTGATCGTAACAATCACTGAGTGTGTCTTGTTACGGCTTTTGCGTATTGAAAAATGTTGGAGAACACGGGAAAAACTCTGCTTATGAGTGACGAAACCTTTTTGTTTTTTGGGAGGCCAAACACACTGTAAGAACATTATTTTTTCAAAGATTGAAAATCATCCGTTCGATTTGCCCTTGGGGAAGGAAATGGGAGTAAAAGTTATCGAGCAGTTTTTTGAAAGAACTAAAATTTCGGATGGAAAAAGACTTCAAAAAAATGTTTCATCAAACTGAAGTGGTAAATATTTGTACACATAGAACGGATGCAACGAGCGCAATATCGGGGGTGGAGTTTTCCACCTTCCCTCCCCGTCCAAAGAGAGTCAAAATTACCTCTCAGAGCGGCCTCGAGATCGGCAACGGCAATCACAGTGCTGGTTCCCTCGTAGGTGCCCCTCTCCGTTATGAGGATCTCCCTCTCGCCGTCCCACGTCGGCCTCGAGTGCCAAAACAGACCGTCCCCGTACTTCCTCAGAGCATCGCCGACCACCCGCTCCATCGTGCTCGGCAGTGTTTTCCCCGAAACCCTCACTCGACCGCCGCAGTAGAAGCAGCAGTGCCCCTCCACCTGACGATCACAATTTCACGCACTCACGATTACATCGCAAAATGAAAAAAAAAAAAAAAAAAAAATTTGGAATTTCCCCCCCCAACTTGTATGCTTGGCTTGTCCTGCCCGTGTACAGTGACGGACATGGAGGAAGAGTGTTACGCGTTGATCTCGATGAGCAGAGCATCCGGCAGGGATTCGTCCCGCTCGAGCCCCGAGCCGACGCTCGCGTCCACAACCAACCCCAAAAAAAGGCCGCGAGTCGTCGAGTACGACGATGACGACGACGAAGATTGCTGCCTGGCCAAGGTCATGAAGGGCGAGCCCCTCAGTCCCGGGAGTTCCTCCTGCGCAGCCGAGGATGCGGCTTTCTTCCTCGATGACAAGAGCGCCATCTCCGCCATCTCGCCCCACAACATCCACGTCGCGAGGTTCGCTGCCCAGCAAAACACCGACAGCGAGGACGACAACGAGGAGCTGCTCAACGAGGTAAATTACACCCTCTTCTGCACCTGTTGGTTTCTCCTTCCTTTTTTTTTTCTTCGCTTTATCTAATCTTTGTGTATACGTGACGACAGAACCGAAGCGTCTTATCGTTCGCCGATTGATTTTTAATCGCCCGGTGCGCGAACGCGCCGATTTGTATATATAGAATCTCGCCGGTTTTCTCGTCTCGAGACGAAAAATTTCGTGTATTTTAAAAATGAGGGAAAAAAAAAAAAAAAGAAACGCTTTTATTTGGCTGTTATTGACGCTGGGGATTATTCGCTGAGCCACACGTGTAAGCCGTCGTAAATCGGGGTGTATACACAGGACCGATCTCTCGAGTCCCCCCAGTTTTTTTTTTTTCTGGGCCAATAAAGAGCGTCGCTTTTTTTGTTTTACGATGAATATCTCGAGGTTCCACAAACCCGAGTAGCTTGAAGTGATTAAAAAAAAAAATGCCAAAGTCTCGACGAGTGGGTATAGCCCGTCGAACCAATTGGAAAAACGAAGTAAACGAAAGAAGCCGATGTATGTGCGTGTGTGAAGCATGAAAACGTTGATTCCAGCTGGAGTTGAAGGTCGAGGCCGTGGATTTGCCGTGCGAGTACGAGACGATAGAGCACAAGTCAACGGAGGAGAGCCAGGAGTTGCTACCTCCGACGCCACCGAGCACCTCGTGCTCCGACAGCGAAAGCACCGTCTCGGCCTCGTGCTCGCCCGAGCGCAGGGACTCGCACGGCTCGGTCCACGCCCACCACCACCAGAATCTCCGGGGCTGTCTACAGCCGAGATTGTACGTGACGACAAGCGCCACCGCCGGCCAGCACAGCACCACCACGCGCCAGCCCATCCACACCCCCCTCATATCTTGCCAGCCGGTATGTGTGTGCATATACACATGATGCGCATGTACCCTTGTATATAGGTACATTATTTATTGCGAGTGTCTTACCGCGATGCCCCTTTGCAGAAGGGATCCACGGGCGAGCTCGTCCTCACGGAGGAGGAAAAGAAGACGTTGATCGCCGAGGGTTACCCAGTGCCGACTAAGCTCCCCCTTACCAAGCACGAGGAGAAATCGTTGAAGAAAGTGCGCAGGAAAATCAAGAACAAGGTAGGCAGCAATATTATCACCGAGATGATTTTTCCTTTTGTTTTTTCTTTCTTTCTTTTTTCCCAACACCTGGTGTATGTTATTTTTACAGATATCCGCCCAAGAGTCCCGCAGGAAGAAAAAGGAGTACGTGGACGGGCTCGAGAGGCGGGTGGCGCATTTGTCGAAAGAGAACGCCAACTATCAGGATAGGCTGAGCAGCCTGGAGAGCTCAAATCGCCAGTTGCAAAAGGAACTGCAGCGATTCCAGGCCATGTTCAAAATACAGTCCTTATAAAAATTGTTGTTTTCATCAATAAGTCTATTTTTTTCTTTGAGCATTATTGAGAATAAAGCACTCTTTTTGCAAAAATTTAATACATTTTAAATGGCAACGGTCCTACTCTACACGTGACAACTCTACACACCATACTACTACTATACACCAATACGTATTAGATACATATTGGTTAATGTAGGCGTGAACAGTTTTCGCGAGTATAGGATTGGACCCTTCTCATTTGAAATAATATCAAAACGTACAACAAAGTATCTTCCGTCGATTTACCGGCTGCCTACTCATTAATGTTTGAGATATTTAATTTTGATAATGTTCTGTATAATTTACTATTCGTAGCTTTCAACGAAAAATTGTAGGCATAGGAAAAAATCTCGAGCGTTTTGGAAAAAAAGAGAAAAAATATAGCGAACATCGATTCAGAGGTAGAAAAAAAAATTATGTGTATTAAAAACACTATTTTCTCCTGCACTTGTACTGCGTTTTAAACTTGTTAACTCATTTAGCACATTGATTCATTGAGCGCTCGAAATTCCAACACCTATATTATGCGTTTTTTTGACAAATACGATGAAAAATTAAAAATCCGTGACCGAAGCTGAACATTAAAAATTTTCTAATTATTAAACATTTCGAATGACGGTGATGATCGTCTCGTTTGCATCCCATACCGATACGTAAGCCCTACGGCCCTGACGGAGTTGCTTAATTGCCGATACACGATACAGAAAGTGCCTCCACGTTTTCGCACGTACTATACACACGGCGTGTTTTGCTATTTATGTACTCCAAGTTGTATCGTTCGAGTGAAATATATTTAAAAATCGGTTCGAAACCTGTAAAAAAAGCTACATTTTGACAATATTTCCGAGACACAAACTATCCTATCCACGTAAGTGTTAATCAACAACTTTCTACCATATTGTTATAAGTGCACACATGTAAGTACGCCGTCCTCGATTGATTATCGTATCTGTGTGCACGGGAGTGGTGTATGTTTATAGATTCGTTTACATATACACCGTAAACGTATGCTCATACTTAAATGTCAGGGATGCGAGGGCTGCACGTGTCGGGTGGGCAAAAAAAAAAAAAAAAAAAAAATTAAAGTAAAACAAGGTCTCAGTACTTACCGAGCTCGCGAGGAGGAGGAGAGCCGGGTAGGTAGTGCTGCCGACCTTCAACTTGACCGTCGGCGCACAGGTCCTTGACCTCACTTTCCGCATATAGACATATATACATTACGTGTATGTATTGCACTCAGAGCGCGAATCGTCATCGTTAAAGTGTATATATACTCAATGATATACATATTGCATCTAGGGTTTACCCCCTATCTGTACCTATACTCTTTTGGGTTAAGGGAGTATAGTTACATATAGTGATGCTGCGGAGAGTTTACTTTTCTAGCCACCCTCCTCCTCCTCCTTCCAACTCTGGTATGTATAGGGATCAGAGGCGTTCTATTTTTAGAGACGACTCGATTTTTACGTTTACCTGACGCTACACCGTTTCGATAAGGAAAGGAAAAAGTTAATCGCCGCGACTCGTCGGGCATAACTATATAAATTTATTGCGCAACGTGCAAACCTTTATACATATAGGTACTTACTGTTAAAAATATACCTACTGTCCTTGAGTGTACGAGTAACTTATTATCAAAGAGAGAGCGGCGATACGTGACGAAATTACACCATATTTCCTACTACTACTTTTTTTTCTTTTTTTTTCCTTCATATTTGTTTGAAAATAATTTTATGGTTTTGTTTACAATCATTGCGTTTATACACCACTACTGGGTACTACTATAAATTTACCGCTATTTTTTTGTAGCCAATGGAGTTGTCCATAATTGTGGGAGTACATTACTTGTTTGAAGGTGACGATCGATGCGCACGTCAAAATGATCATCTTCCAAAGGACCCACTTATTTGAAACGTTCGTTAGCGTTAATTACCAAGCCCAAGATGCGACAAAACTCGAGAGTTTCGCCAACTCGCAATTTGTTTTATTTTATTGTAAGAAACAAATTGCACCTCTGACGCATTTAACGATCGTTCGTTTTTAGAATCGTCATTACTTTCAAGCGCTTATCGGTACCTACACATCGCGCACTTGTATAGGTAATCGCGAGAAAAGTATCGTTTCTAATGATTTTCACGGATGAATAGCGCAAAAGTGTTTATAGACTTGAGAAATCTAACAACAGCCGGTCCCACGGCCGAGATAATTACAAAGAAAGGGGTCCAAATGAAAAGCTACGCGCACGAAGTAGTCGTCGCGACTTGGCTCGAAAGTAACCGCAACCACAAAAGAAAAACAAAAAAAAAAAAAAACCTCCGATGGAAAAAGAAAAAAAAAAAAAAACAAATTTCTCTTTTCTATATATATGGGTACTTATTGCTGATGCGCTACATACTTTGCCGCGTTTGGTTCGTTAGCTCCTTCGTTTTCAATTTCTACCTGCCGCGGTTGAAATCGAGACGACACTCAGTGAGAGGTAAACTACCCAACGGCTTGTCGTTAAACACGTGACGGCCAACTATTGGGCAAATGTTACCTGCATTTCACAAGTAATTATAGCCAGATATTAATTATTACTTTTACATCCACGTGTTGGTGCATCCATTATTGGCGGTTAATAAGGGTTTCGTCGTCTTTCTCTCTATTTTGATGACTGCAACACGTGGATCGTTTACGCTCATTACTGTAAAGATTATTACGAAATCGTCCTTAATTATGTTTGAAAAACTTGGCGTCGGTCACAGCAAAGCTCAAACCATTACATCGTACTGTTAAAATAGAGAGCGACCTCACACTTTTCGCTCGTTAACGTTTACGGAATGACAAATTTCAAGCGACACTATATATATACAGCGCATCGGGGCAATTTGAATCATCCTAACCGTATTACACGCGCAATTATACTCGCACTTACAGTTGCTCTTGCCGTTGTTGCGTTGCTCAAGCTTAATTGCCGTTACGTGCAACAATACATCCACAAACGTATAGAGGCGCGCGAACAATAACAAAAACAACGAGTAAACGAGCAATCGCGTGCTTGGCGGTTGGGGTGTGCGGGGGGGGGGGGAACATCTCAATTTTCGTGCTCATTTTGCGCCGTCAACTGCTTATGAGAATCTCGTCTTTTATTTCGCTTGCGTAGCACCGAGTGTGTGTACTTTTATATACGGGTATATATACACCAGAAACCGCGCGACTTGTGCAGTTTGCGCAAAAGTTTCCCTCCCCCCCCCGCGTGCCGATTCGCGATGCGCTCGGTTTCCAGCGAAGACGAACCACAAGCGGAGAGCTCGACCGTGTGCAGGTATATTATATTATAAATACATACACCGCTGAGACAGCGAGAAAGAAACAAGTACCTAATAATACAAGAGTAACTCGCCGCGCTCGCGTAAAATTGCCGAGTTCCGCGTGTGCTCACCTGCGCGTGCACATACGATGCAACACAGGTGTACCTATATATATATATATACGCGTTCTCGGCGCCTCCGTCTATTTTATTTTTTTTCTCTCCTCTTTCGTTACCCATGATACACCCGCGATGTGCTTTTTTTAGCCTCTCGGTGCCGATACACGGTGCACCTCCAATAAAATGCGCCGGAGCGCGCCGCGAAACTGAAAACTTTGTATATATAAGGAGGAATCGCTCGCGTGCTCATACACATCGGAGGATAGAGCTTCCGGCGGAAGCGCCCCGCGCAGGAAGTTGACTGTATACAACAGTCTGCTCCATGCTATATTTCTCTTTTCCCCCTCCACGTGACTATTAGACCGAGATGACGGAGGAGAGATAAGAGATCGTCCAATTAAATGGAATGCCGCTGCGACTTTCGTAAGTATAGGTGTATGTGTAGACACGTCGTCACCGATACAGCTTGAGACGCGGAGTTGCGTTGATTTTCGTCAAGTGCTTTTTTTTTTTTAAAAAGTACACAAGTATTCAATTAGATCGGTATCGGGGACATTTTCCGATACATAATATAATATATACATATATACTCACACGCGGATTATTCGTTTCCTCGTGACTCGCACATGCGCGCCTATATATATATATACGTAATAGCTGCTGGTCCGCGGCCCGAGCCGTGTTATAATCTCAGCCCCGGCTGCAGCCGGCCGCGCCGGTATTTCATTCACTCACGTGTGTATATACAACCGGCATCCCAGCATCACTGGAGTCGAGGCACCTATTTATATATACATGTTATGTGGAAGGAGAGCTCGCGCGCAAGGAGAGGCCATTTTCGTAATAGGTGTATATAATATATGGTCATCAAACCCGATGACGACGTGTATACCTGTGTATATACGTACACGCTGTGATATAACACACGCGCTTATGTATCATATAGGTATACATTATACCGTACAAGCGAGCGCGGCTCGACTTGGAAAAAGTTTTTTGCGGCGTTCGGCCGTGAATTGCGAATGTAAAGCCANTCGGTCGATCACAGGCGAGTAGACCACACCTCGGGCGCTGGACGCTGCACACCTCCTCCCAGTAAGCCGACACGTCTCCCTCCTGGCACGGGCAGTCCTTGCACTCGGCGGGACTGTACCTGTCGCCGAAACGTCGAGCCAAACATTCAAACGACCAGAGCACAGGAAGAAAAGCAAAAGAAAAAAAAAAAGAGTGTATACTCGACGCTGAAGGGGCCACCAACAAACTCGGACCGGTCCTTCGCGTCCCTCCACGTCCAACGGGACATCGCCTCGTCGCTGTCTTCGAGTCTGACACCCCGCACCTCGACGCCACGACTGTAGGGCAGCTTCGCGCTGAAGGTCCTCGAGCTCCCGGGGAGGACGACCACGTCAGATTGGCAGGGCACGCGCTCGAGGTGGGGCACAGCCTCCGAGGACGCGTTCCAGTTGAGGGGGTCCGCCCAGTAGTAGGGGCTCTCGCGGAGCCAGTGGGACTCGCCGGTGCCGTGGTCGCTCACCTGCACCCTCGCCAAACGTCAACCAGGGGCAAGGAAGGGGGAGAACGAGGTTTTTCCATCAGTTTCGCGTACTCACAATGATGCGGCCGTTTTCGGGGAGCGCGAGTAGGCCGTCCCTCGAGAGCCGGAGGCCCGCGAGTCCAATGGTCCCGGCGGTGCGTGGCATCCCGACGGCGTGCCTTGCTTCCAGGGGGAAAGCCACGAGGCTGTCGGGCCCGGGTGGTAGGTTGTTGAGCCAGTTACTGGAGGTCTGCCACTCGACGTCGGCCAGCCAGTGTTTTTCCAGGGCGGCCCCGAGGCCGAGGGCCAGGGTCAGAAGGGCCAGGGAGGGCTTGGGCATTTTTTTTTTCTTGGCTTCCAGCCGTCACGAAGAGGTTGAAAAGCACGACTGAGCGGGATGCTGTTTTTTTTTGACGCGTGAACGAGGGGGCGTTTATGGGAACGTGATACGTGGAGTGTCGGTTGTATCTGGCACGCGTGCCAACGTCGATTTCATTTTTTTTTTTTTTTTTTCTTTTTCTTTTTCTATATAGACATCCGAGTGCGTATTCACACGCGTAAATTATACAAGGTGTATGTATAGGCAAGAAAAGAGAGTCGCTTACAATCACAATTGTTTTTTTCTTTTATTTGTTTGCTTTCACAGAGACGTTTGTACGGTATACACTTTGACTCGAGATTAATTTATTTTCCTTCGTATTACAGAGCTCGTGGCGTCTCGCAGGGCATACACATGTATACATATCGCGTGAATCGTACAGTAGTTATATGGATTGTAAAACACACAGAGCAGAGATGTATGTATATATATAATCCACGCGCAACGTAGTTTTTTTTTCTCTTACAACCAGCGACTCATCGCCCTCGTGTATACACTGCAGCATTCACTCTTTCNTTTTTTTTTTTTTTTTTTTTTTTTTTTCTTTTTCTTTTTCTATATAGACATCCGAGTGCGTATTCACACGCGTAAATTATACAAGGTGTATGTATAGGCAAGAAAAGAGAGTCGCTTACAATCACAATTGTTTTTTTCTTTTATTTGTTTGCTTTCACAGAGACGTTTGTACGGTATACACTTTGACTCGAGATTAATTTATTTTCCTTCGTATTACAGAGCTCGTGGCGTCTCGCAGGGCATACACATGTATACATATCGCGTGAATCGTACAGTAGTTATATGGATTGTAAAACACACAGAGCAGAGATGTATGTATATATATAATCCACGCGCAACGTAGTTTTTTTTTCTCTTACAACCAGCGACTCATCGCCCTCGTGTATACACTGCAGCATTCACTCTTTCATTTCTCTACAGCTCAGTCTTTCCTTAGCCTCGTCGAGCCAACATTTTTTTTTCTTTTTTTTTTTCTTTTTTTTTTCTTTTTTATCTCCTGTAATCTTTCTCTATCTTACTATATTCGTCGTCTTTACTTTTGTGCTCGTACAAATATAGTCGGTAAATTGACAAGTGTGTGTGCAGTACATAGTTGGCGAATTCAAGAGAGGGATGATTAATAACGCACAGCTTCTTTTGCCTCGCGCAAACCACGGGGTATACAAACAAACAATCAAGGAACGCAAAATTGCACGATTTGTGCACAAGATTGAACATCACGTATATATATAGGTAGCAGTAGCATATATATATGTATATGTATTTAATAGTACACACGAGTCGATACAGTCGGAGGACACCAAGACTAGATTTCGTTATTTTTCTTTTTTCTTTTTTCTTTTTTTTTCATAACGTACAATATATGATAGATAAATATGTTTAAAATTCTTAGGGACTATACAAACAATGCGCATCTCGCGTATACTTAATGTTGAAACGAAAAAAAAAAAAAAAAAAAACTTTCGCTCGCGCGTCCAAACGATCCGAGATAAACTGCCAACCAAAGTGCGTGTGTCTGTGTACGTGAGATTTTAATTTCCGTGCATATTTAAAAAAAACGTAGGCCATGAGTTAATGTTCACGAATGAACAAACACATGTATATAGATATACGACTGCTCGTCGTGTGCCTTGATGCAAATAAAACACGCACTTTGTTTGGCGGAGCAAAGAAACAAGTTGTACAATGTTTCGCGGTAACTCTTTCGTGCATCGGATGGTGCGGTCCCTTAGACGAACTGCGCCGAGTTGACGGAGGCGTCGTCCTCGTCGTAGTACTCCTCCGGGTTCATGCCGTCCCTCTTGCCGAGACCGAACCCGTACCGGTTGTCCCTCGAGTGCTTCACCGTTAGCCTGTCCGGCATGTCGTAGTCCACATCTCGTTTGCCTGCGTTCATTCAATACACATATTTTTATCCATGTATACACTGCGTATTTCGTAGAAGCGCGCTTTTTTCATGCGAAGGGACAACTTTCGACGAAAGGTGATGATAAAATCGCGATTCTCGTAATATAATTGGATTGAATAATCCGCGGATTGGGGCTTTCACTTAACGCGAGTGTGTATCGCGAATTACACTTAGCCACGTGATACCATAGAGTACACGAGATAAGAGACCGAAGGGGAAGGGGGGGGGAGATTTCAATCGCGATAATTGCGTGAGCTTACCCAGGCCAAAGTTGAAGCCACCGGCGCTCGCGCGCTTGGATTCCAGATAATTTTCCAGGAGCTTCTGGGTGTACACGTTGGACATGAGGTTTTGGTACTTTGGCGAGAAGCGCGTCGCCTCGTCGTAGCTGCTACGCTTGCCCAGTCCGAAGGTGTACGGCTTGGCGCGCTTGCCCAGCCCGAACGAGAAGGGCTGGCCTCGCTGTTGTTCATTTTGGANTATAGATATATATATACGCATCCCTTCTTATCTCATCGATGTATATGTGTACATTCAGAAGTGTATATATGTGTACGGAGACGGGCGTGCGTCGCGCTTATCGAAGGAAATGAAGCGAGATAAACCCGCGTATAGCACATGAGCGTCTCAACTGCCTCTCTCTCTCTCTCTCAATCTCTGTCTGTCTGTGTGTGGGTCTGTGCTAACTGACTAAACCAAACTTGGGACGATTACATTTCTCGTATACGACCAAAATAACACACGCTTGCATCAGTCCGTACTTGTTTGTTGATGTATTTATTTATTTATTTTTTTTTGGCTTTATAAAAAATAAACGCAAAGATTGAAAATACTCGCCTGTATACTTTTCATCCCAACAAAGTCGCGTCAAAAGCCATGAGAGCCCGCGTTTTTCTCCTCCAATTTACCACCAAAAAGACCATACAAAGCGTTATCTGACCTTCGCCGGCATATAAGTACTTTCGCGTTCGATCGCAAGTGCGATTCGTTAGCTCGAGAAACAACACACTTAACATAATATGTACTCAGGGCGCGAACGCGATATCAATTCTTTATCGAATCTATACACCATTATACGGAGGTACATGCACATAAATATATACGTGCTGGGATATAACATATTTATCGATGCCAATGCGTGATGTGTAAGCGTGCGATCGACGAAACGTTTCCTCCCCCCGCGGAATTTGGTCTCTCTCTCTCTCTCTCACTTGAAGTAAACTTGTATTGACGAAGACGCGCGCCGAAAACAGATAGAGCGAGAGAAGGAAAAGGCGATATTACGGATGATCCATTGATATAGGGTTGGAAAGAGAAAAGTATACTCTCTGCTCCTATCGGTACCAAAAAAATATGGAAAAAATCCCTCGGCTTGAGCGACACCTATACACTCGAAAGCCATTGCCGATCCACACACACACACATATTCCCCCAAGCGATGTCGCAATGGCCAGTTGTAATCTACAATTGGCCGAGCCATCCGTATAATATGTGCACGCGGCGTATTTTCAACGTATATACTTGTGCGCGACGCGGATAAGGTCGCGATAATAGACGTTGTCGTGCAGAACGACTCGCTTCGTCGGACCTCCACCACCACCACTACACTTACTGTTACATTATATACAGAGAGACACGCATTTTTCTCTCTCTCTCTCTCTCTCGCTTCCGTTGCAACAGGTAAGTGCAACTATACAGTTCCTTTTGCTCGTGCTTCCTTCTCTCTTTTTTTTTTTTTTTTTTTTTTTCCTTCATTCGAGTGTTTTTGTCGTTATAAGCTTGCGAGTACATTTTCCTCCTCGGCCTGTATTCAGGTATACGAGCTTTGGCTCTCTGTTTGCTCTGTACGGCGCCGTTTGGGTACACACGCCGTACTTACCTTCTTAGAAAGTACACGCTTATTATGCACCGCGGGAATATCCGCGTGCGACTTACGATGGGAGCATTGTATTTTTAGTACGCGGCGCTTGCGTTTCGACTCTCGATTTTCCGTGTCCACGTGCTTTCGGCCCTTCTTTTAAATATACCCTTCGTGCCGTGTACGCGTTATCGAGTGCCATATAGGAACGTGCAAAAACCCCAACCGTTAACTTCGTTTGTTCGGGCCACGTATGAAAGCGAGAATGAATTCCTATTATTATGAATATTTTTTTTTTTTTTTTTTGCTACATCACGGTATCGTCGATTTGGTTTTTAATTTCTATTTCGGTGCGTATAGTTTGGGACCCAATAGGAGTCGTAAAAAAGTAAGATCTGCGGTACAGCGGCAATCAGTCGTAAACCGAACGAAATTGAATTGCGTAAGCGTAATCGCGTCGCGATTGAACGTATACACATGTATATGTATATATATGTGAGTAGTCGTCGTTCTAAAATTAAATTTTCTCCATATACATACACGAATGCGTGCGGTTTCGAGGAGTCACGTATTATGTGTACATCGAAAAGTAACTGCTAATCGGATTGTTACGTAATTACGAGCTTATCAGATGCACAGTAGGTGTTGGGAGGTGTCGTATCCAACTTTATTTACATATTTATTTTTTTTGCACCTTATACTATATCACCAGCTGCTGAAAGTTACCTTTTTTTGTCCCTTTGTTTTGGGCTTATACCATTTTTGTATTGTTACAATTCGCTATTTGTGTCACCAATTTATTTTCAATGACAATGGAAAAAAGAAAAAAAAAATTACAATACAATATTGCAAACGTGTCAAATGTTGCATGGTAAAAGCTCAATAGTACAAGTACACACAACATAATAGACCGTGCCGCGTCTGAGCGCGCGTAACTTTTTGTCGTCCTCCGTGATACATAAATGTAGTGCAGAGCTAGCGATAAGACCCGCTAGAGCTAAAAATAGAACGGATTAATGCGCGAGCGCAGTTTTGTTTTGTTTTTTATTTTTTTTTGCCCGAAACAAGAGAACGAAAATAAAAATTACCATCCGAAACAAAAAGTTGGTATGAAAAAAAAGAGTATACATATATACATGTATATTTGTTTAACAATGCGAGAGTTGTTTCGGTGAGTGCGCGCGATTTCTTGCCGCAATACAGGAGGGCCGGAGGGGTAAATTACAGTTACATCGAAGGTATACAGTTACATATACGCGTAAAAAGGGGGAGAGTCGTCGCGGCCTTGAGTGCAAGTAATGAGCCTCCAAAGGCACATATGGGTGTCTCTCTTTCCCTTCCTCGTGTTTGCGTAAGTCGTACTTTGGCAAAAAAAAAAAAAAAAAAAAAAAAAATGTGACAATCGAGTTTGATGAGTGCAGCTTCTGCCACCGCTACTGTTACCGCATTATCTGATGTTTGCTCAGCTGGATGACGCGTTAATGTTTACATCGCGTTTGCGAGGCGTTAGTGGCTACAAGCAATGATTATGCTGGGAACTTTTTTCAGGTGTGCCGATGGCACTCGAAGAACAAGCACCGCCGGTTGTGTCATAGCCCTGCCATTGAGATACATTCCACTGTGGGTTGGCTCTTGGGGGTGTTGACTTGTAATAAACGTATACAAACGCGTTGGAGAGGAAGAAAGTATTGTATCCACAACGCGCTGTTTTTCCGCTCTCACAGCTATATGTACGTGAATTACTCTTGAAAAAACGGAATTAGGGATTCCCTGGTGTTACGAGAATCGTTTTTGAAGCACATCCGCGGGGATAAAGATTTTTTTTATCTTTTACAAAGATATACGGAATAAGCCGTAATTTTCTGATAAACAAGGCGTGACATACTTTTTCGAGCCAATGGCACTGTATACATTTTTTTGTTTCAGAGCAACAAAACATTTCGGCGTGTACGTAAAAACTACTAGAAACGAGAAACGAAACCTGGAAAAATTCGACCGCGAGTCAAGCTTAAATTACCGTACCTGTATACATGATAAAAATTGCGAAACAATAAAAAAATTGTACATCGCTTCGTATTCATGAACTTTCCCGTGCTCCAGGAGACAAAAATCCTTCGTTGGTAGAGACTAGCTCCCGAAAAAAATGTCTTCAATCTCAGGGGACTCTCAGTTTCATTTATTTCTCTAGGCTTGCTCTCGTGCCCGCTCGTCGCGCAAAATTTTCTGAAAAAAAAACGATGCACACTCTCTTTTTCCCAATCAATCATCAACGCGACCTTGGCTGATGAAAATAAATTTCTCGGAGTCATGTAAAGGCTACCTGTTATTACGTATTACAATTATTGTTATCACGGAGTGAAATTACCTACAATTTGGTGGCCTCCAAAAAATCCGGTCCCTTTTTGTTCGAAAGACCGCGACGTCTGGCACGGTACTTACGTGAACTTCTCACGTGTACCTATATAATGTCCATACAGCCTGTACAAGTACTCTTACATTCTCTCACGGAGAACCGGTGTATAGGCATATAGATAGAGAAGCGTCGCATGTTTAAGTTCAACGAGGACGTAGCGTCTAGTCAGATTTTGCAAACTCGCCATGGGCTGTAAAAAAAAAAAAAAAAAAAAAAAAAGATCCATAAGGATCAATTGTCCCGTAAGAGTATAGTGCGCTCAAATCGTCTTAGCAGCCGTTCACCCGCTTCGTTTTCCTTTTCTCCTGACTCGAAAATTGTTTTGTTCTCAATAAGAGACGTAAAAATTTTCTTATCTCCACTGGCACTCGTTCATTATGTTGCAAGTAAAAGAGAATCCTACGACGTCTCGGGCGGAGAGTCGAAAAAAAAAAAAAAAAAAAAAACCAAAAAAAAAAAAAAAAAAAAATATAAAT